CGGCAAGTACATTCGGAATGTTTACCTAAAGTTAAAGAGACTTTAATTAAACACACCAAAAATAGTCAAAGTACCGGACAGAGCATTAGTCACGATTTACATACCTACGACGTAATGTAACACCTAGCAAAAACGTCCGGAAGCGGGTGTTTCCGGTGACACGGGGTATTGACTTTAGGGCCTGTAAATGAGTAAGTGACTGTCACAGTCAATTCTAATTCATATTAAATCGCGATACAACGAAGTGTGAAGTCAATTATTAATTGTTGTATCAACGAGTTGCTCACAGTGTGGAGAGTAGACATTGTTAGCCTACAGTCTGACCAGTCTAGGAAGTACGACGTGTAATGCTTGTATCTATCAACAGGCTTACAAACACACCACCACTGTGTCCTGACAACAGCGTTCTGTCCCACGTTGCTAAGGTAAACATAACTGACCAGTCCCGCCCTGAGGGTGAGTGAGGGATTGAGTGACATATAAGGGCGTGGTAACAGCGCGGAGTGAAATTGTCACTCGCGTTGTTTGGGTATTGTTTCAAACTAACACAGCCGGATACTCGTCTTCTCAATTTCACGCTGAGTAACGTTGAAATATCCCGTCGTTATAGTAACATAAATAAAGGAACATCTCTCGTCATCTTCATCCTCATCCGCGTATGATGTATGCAGTTTCGAAAAATATAAATATATCATTAACCAGCAACACGCGCTGAAACAGTTTTACATCATATTACTGAAACACGATAGCCATATATTTTTAATGGACCAGACACGTAATCCCATACTGTGCCACGCCCCAATTTAAATGATCATGCTATGATTCGACTATATCAAATCGTTTTCTTAAATTAGATTAAGGATGCATGTTGTAATGGGCCTAGGTCGTGCTATCACTGATTGTTCTCGTCACATGTTTCCGACCATGGTATAATTACATGTCTTGACCTACATACTGGGAGCTAAATATAGCAATGATCAGCCCGGGACACCTGGCGAGAGTGACATCGCCATCTTCAATACAGACTCGTGACATCCATTCAATGATGTCATGGCTGGGTTTATCTATAACGGGAATGAAACTCAGAGCTCGTGATGGAAACTGACCAACCACTCTGGTCAGAAAGTGGTAAGGATATCCTTCATCGATTATCACTCAGGATTTGAATATTCTTGGAATTAAGGACAGCGAGACTTATGCAAAACACGCACACAGGATACGTACTTCCTTCATAGCGTCCGGGTCTTGTGTCATAATGACTTACACGATAGTGAGTGAGTGAGCGAGTGAGTGGACACTGCGACCATAACCATATCTGGACCAGATAATCCAGTAAATGACAGCACGAGCATCGATCCATGTGTTCAGGATACAATGACAATCAAATATGTCCCAGAGTCCGTTTGATATTGCCTTTTACGATAGGTTATTAGGCACCTGTACTAGTGGCACCTGTACTAGTGTACTAGTGATTGAAAGTAGGAGCATCGAACGGTGCGTAGTTCAGCCTAGTTACAGTGAACGACCACGCCCATTAGGAATACATAGGGGGTGGAGGGTGCTTGACGAACTGGTGGCATACATAGAGTTGATACATGGGGGCGTGAGGTACACGTTGAGTTGGTGCTAGGGGTGGTGGTGTAGGCGTTGAGTTGGTGCTAGGGGTGGTGATGTAGGCGTTGAGTTAGTGCTAGGGGTGGTGATGTAGGCGTTGAGTTGGTGCTAGGGGTGGTGATGTAGGCGTTGAGTTGGTGCTAGGGGTGGTGATGTAGGCGTTGAGTTAGTGCTAGGGGTGGTGATGTAGGCGTTGAGTTGGTGCTAGGGGTGGTGATGTAGGCGTTGAATTAATGCAAGGGGTGGTGATGATAGATATTCTTTATTTCCTCCAACTGAATGAAGATTACAATGTGTGGTAATAATATATTTTACATCAAATGATTAAGATAGATTATTGATAGAGTCACAAATGTTCATATACATACAAGTGTTTTAGCAAGTATCGCCATTTCCTTATAAAATGGCTTACATTAATTATTACTTTTGCCCATACATCTCTTTCTAGTTCCATTATGCACGCAATTGGACATCCACCAAGTAAAAATGCAAGAATAACATCATCATCTTGATCCCAGATCTTAACAAAAGTTTCTACATCCAGAATATCACATATGGAGTTAAAAAGTTCATTTCTGTCATTCATATTTATCGTACATGACATAAACACGTGCTTTACAATATCATTGGCGACAGTTTTACATAAACATTCTCTTGAAACAATTTCAGCTGATCCATAGTATACAAGTCTTGCAATATCAGTTAACTGGTCGTTCTTCTCTGCAGCTAGCATCCAGAGATAGTGTTCATTACTGGATCTTATATTGATATATCTTGACAGACTAAGTCTTGAATTAAGATGAACATAAAATAGATTTTCTCGATGAGATTTAGTAGCATCATTTACGGCATTGGACCAGCATTTCTTACTGATGAATTGACCATTATTGACATAGTTAGCTAGTATATCGTTTAGGTTATACTTATGTACAAGTTGCAGCATATTGTATATCGGGGATTTTCTACTATATACATTGCATGTAGAGCTATCTGTACACATAAATTGACCAAGGCGAACTAGAAACATTACTTTAAAAACACAGTTATACTTTGCATTACATAACTTTCCTAATAGGTAGAGGGCTCTTTTATCTATGTAATACTGTACTGGCATGATACCGATACAATCCAATACAACAATACTGGGAGTGCGCTTGTGTAGTCCCTGAACTTTTTTACAAAATTGTCGTTGTACAACTTCAAGTATTTCATACTCTTTAAGAGGAAGTTTACCCCATACGTTACATCCATAGAGGCCACATGATAAGATTACCCTCTCCCAGATACGGGCTGCAGATATCGGGTTAAGACCTCCAAAATACAACCCATTGTTATGATTAGTGTTCATGAGTACTCGTAGCTTTTCACATGCAGTTTTTGTACGTTCAAGTGATGATTTATCTGTACTGAGATATACACCTGCATATTTAATAGATTTCCTTTGTGGAACATGTATATCACCAATTAATACATTACTGATGTTAACGTTATTGTTTGAGCATTCAAAGTGTAGAACCGCACTCTTGCTTACATTATATTTTAGCTGCCATTTATGAGCATAGGTTTTAGCGACATCGAGAAGATTTTGCAGGCCTTTGGTAGAGGAACTCATCAGAGTAGTGTCATCAGCAAGAAGAATCCCAGGGCATTTACCCCATGGCAAAATTAAGCCAGAATCTGAATTCCCAAGTTCATATAGGAGGTCATTAATAAATAATGTGAATAGCCAGGCGGACATTACTCTACCTTGGCCTACTCCTTGATTGACGGGGAATGTATCCGATTTAAACCCTTCAAAGCATACAAATGATTTCATGGAGCTATAGGAGAGCCTTAATATTCTCCATAGTTTACCCGTTATTCCAATATCATACAGTTAAATAAATTAGCCATCAAGCCACACCCGATCAAATGCCTTTTCATTATCTAAGAATGCACAGTATACAGGCGACATCCTTTCATCGTAATATGCAATGTTTTCTTTTAACGTCAGTACGGCGGTTTCAGCACCATAGTGACGCCTAAATCCAAATTGCAGAGGATGGGGAAATTCTATCTTAGTATCTATCCAGGACTCTATTCTGTTAAGGAGAAGTCTTTCAAAGAGTTTACTTAATACAGAAGTCATGGTTATTCCTCTATAATTGGCAGGGTCATGTTTTGGTTTACCGTTGCCCTTGTGTATTGGAAGAATTTGACCTATAGAAAATGATTTAGGAATGTATTCAAACGTAATAATGGCATTGAATAGTAAGGCAATATGATGCAGCAGCGATCTACCAGCCTTCTTTATGTGCTCATTCACTATACCGTCAGGACCAGGCGACTTTCGTACTTTAAGTCGTTTTACTGAACAATGGATTTCATCTTCAGTGATTGGACAGTGCAATGGCGAACCGATGTCGTTATGCATGTCATCGCTTGTTTCAATATTAGCAATTTGCTCTTTCACATTCTGAGCATGTACATAGTCACATTTTACATCAGGGGAAGGAGTAGCTAGTGAATGGAAATAAAGTCCAAACAGACTGCAAATATCCTTTCCCTCGTAGCAAGTTTGAGAATCATAGGTAAGTTTTTCAATATTACCTTTGCAGCGTTTGTAACGTTTTGTAGTTTTGTAAAATTCTTTAACATCTACTTCTGCTGCTTCGTAGATTTCATCAAATCTTTTTTTAGCTAACTGGTGTTTTGCATGGCGATGTTTCTTACGAAATAGCCGTTTACTTTCTTTATATTTTGCATAGGCAGCATCGTTTTTATCTCTAACTTTACCATTTGCAACCCACTGACGGCGACAATTTCGCATTTCTTTATGCAGATTATTAAGACCATCTTTCTTCCAGTAAGGTTTAAGAAATGGCCTAAAGCGTGTGGATGGAATACTTCCGGCAGCAGAAGCATGTAAGGAGCCTGTGATATAATCACAATAGTATTCGATGAAGTCTACATTGTTATCAAAGTGAGCATTGTTAATTTCAGTTCCACGAAAGTAGTTTTCTGTTTCATATCGATATAACATTAGGTCAGTTTCACTTGCTTTAGTCCAGTTTAAGTTCTCTCCATGATAGTACCCAACATGTACAGGAAGAAGTATACAGACAAGTATTGGTAGGTGATCTGAGATGTTATATGGGATGCCAGTGTCAATGACATATCCAGTTACACTGCTTAGTGAATCAATGTCTACAAAGACATTTACTATGGAAAGTGTACCTTGACTCGTCAAGTGGAACCACAGAATAAAGGTGACGTTCGCTAAGCAGTCGTAAGAGGCACCTAGCCCTGGGTTTCATATTAATACCATGACTGATATCAGTATTAAAGTCTCCTAGGAGGTATGTTGGGTATTCTTGAGAGAGAATATCATAAAGTTCCATAACATAGTACAGTTCTTCATAGTACATACTGTCAAGGACATTTGTCGATGGCAGTCTAGTCCCAAGTATATACACATGGCTGGTACAGATGTGCAGTTTGATACACAGTACGTGGCGGCTGTGGTGGGTGTCAATAAGAGTAGCTTTACACCAGTCACCTTTCCGTACAAACATGGCTACACCTCCATAACCTCGTTGGTGCTGGTTAGAGTCACAACTGGATTTAGAATACACATTAAATTTGTCATGTAGTGTCTCCAGAGACTGTGAATTTTCCATGTCTAGCCAGTGCTCTGTAACAAGCACGACGTCACATATGTCGAGCTTATTGCACAGCTCAGACGTTCCATGTTTGATACCACGAATGTTCCATGTCGCTAGGTTAACGAGGGTCATCAGTGTACATCCATAGATGGTCAGACTTGCAAGATAAGGCATCATGGTTAATATTCACTCTCGCCTTGTTTATCATTAGAGTACCATGTATTCCGGGGAACCCATTCTCTGCAGTTCACGTTCTCTGGCCAGAATGTGTTGTCGTCCAATATTATCTTGGCACACTGTACAGGGACTGCAATACGGATGGTATAGGTCGGGTTAGAGCCTTCCCAATGTCGCAGGAGAATTATATTCGTAATGGTCACACCCCGTTCTTTGGCGTAGTCAACGATAGCATCTTTCACTATGTCAAAAGATTCGTCTGCTCTCACATATGACATGACGAGTCTCCTGTTTTTGTATTTAGCCACACCTGTGAAGGATCGTCTCCACTGATTGTTAAACCTCACAGACCTTGATTGCTGTTGTTTCTTAGATTGATTAGATGTATTGTCTTGGGTTAAGGTTGGCTTGTATCTCGTGCTGGAAGAGTCATCCGTGTCTGGCACGTGTTCGTGGGGTGGACTATCATCAAGAAGAAGTAAGCTGTCTTCTGAGCTTGGTGGTGGATGGATATCGTCGCAGACTGGGACTCTGCTGTACTGCACGGTGTGTTACATCATGGCTTGGAGTTGATTGGCCTTCAGCAATGACTGGCCTTGATGTGGTCTTACCATAGCTTGGGTTGTTAACTGCCTCTGAATAGAGCAGCTTATTTCTGGTATTCATACAGTCAATTTTGCCATCAATTGCACAAGTTGTTTTATTTATCCCATTTATTGCTGTGTTTAGAGTGTCTTTCATGTCCTTAATGTCAATATCTTTCCTTTCGAGTTCACTCTTTAATGTAGTGATTTCGGATTTCAATTTGTCTACATTGCCTTTGAGCTTCTGGACTTCACTGTGGTATATTTTGATTTCATCATTCTTGTGTTCAAGGACCCCTATCATATCCCGCATGTCGCTCTCATACTGAGACTTGAAATCTTGCAGGTTCTCAATTAAATCCATGAAGTTTTCACGCATATCTTCATGAAAACACATCAGTTTAGTGAACATACGAGCTAACGTGTCCCTATTATTCAAGCTATTGTCTGAGCTCTCTATATCAGTATAATCATCTGATCGAGTTTTCTGTTTACTCATGACTTCACTCTGTATCACATGAGCTGGCACAGATCCACGTATGTATCTATACAGCAGGTACACATCAGAAGCGTACTTTTCTGGAACAGTTTTCAGTTGTCCCGATTGCTTTACTCGTTTGATAAGCATCCCTTCAGGAAAATCTGCACATTTGTCTTTCGCAACATTGTACATTGATAGTCTGTTTGATAAGCAGCTTTTGTTGACATGTTTGTCTGTCTTCAAGGAGTTCAAAGTTCTCGCAGAGTGTCATGGTCAGGTGAATCAGAGATGTGTCGGTTCACCATGTTGTTCCTTCAGGTCTTTCTACAGGACAGCACATCCACATTTATCCAAGAATTCGCAATTATTGTCATTCAGATTCACAACAGTGCTGTAGTATGTATCGCACCTTGTTTGGGTGTCATCGCTCTTGGCTTTATGTGGTTACATAACCCTTTGATATAGGAGCTCCAGAAAACACGTCCGACCAGCTCGGCGTCCAGCTTGTATTGGTGCTAGGGGTGGTGATGTAGGCGTTGAATTGGTGCTAGGGGTGGTGAGGTAGGCGGTGAATTGGTACTAGGGGTGGTGATGTAGGCGTTGAATTGGTACTAGGGGTGGTGATGTAGGCGTTGAATTGGTGCTAGGGGTGGTGATGTAGGCGTTGAGATGATGCTGGGGGAGGTGAAGTAGACGTTGAATTGGTACTAGGGGTGGTGATGTAGGCGTTGAAGTTGGTGCTAGGGGTGGTGATGTAGGCGTTGAGTTGGTGCTAGGGGTGGTGATGTAGGCGTTGGTGCTAGGGGTGGTGCAAGGAAGTAGGCGTTGAGTTGGTGCTAGGGTGGTGATGTAGGCGTTGAATTAATGCAAGGGGTGGTGATGTAGGCGTTGAGTTGGTGCTAGGGGTGGTGATGTAGGCGTTGAGTTGGTGCTAGGGGGTGGTGATGTAGGCGTTGAGTTGAGTGCTAGGGGGTGGTGATGGTATGGGTTGAGTTGGTGCTAGGGGGTGATGTAGGCGTTGAGTTGGTGCTAGGGGTGGTGATGTAGGCGTTGAGTTGGTGCTAGGGGTGGTGATGTAGGCGTTGAGTTGGTGCTAGGGGGTGGTGATGTAGGCGTTGAGTTTAGTGCTAGGGGGTGGTGATTAGGCGTTGAGTGGTGCTAGGGTGGTGGTAGGCGTTGAGTTAGTGCTAGGTGGTGATGTAGGCGTTGAGTTGGTGCTAGGGGTGGTGATGTAGGCGTTGAGTTGGTGCTAGGTGGTGATGTAGGCGTTGAGTTGGTGCTAGGGGTTGATGTAGGCGTTGAGTTGGTGCTAGGGTGGTGGTAGGCGTTGAGTAGTGCTAGGGTGGTGATGAGGCGCTGAAGGGTGCAAGGCGGTGATGTAGGCGTTGGTTAAATGCCTAGGCGTGGTGATGTAGGTGGTGATGGTGTTAGTGCTAGGGGTGGTGATTGCGTTGGAGAGTTGGTAGGGGCTAGGGTGGTGATGATGTAGGCGTTGAGTTGGTGCTATGGTTGGTGGTGAGGTTAGGCATGGTGATGTAGGCGTTGAGTTGGTGCTAGGGGGTGGTGATGTAGGCGTTGAGTTGGTGCTAGGGTGGTGATGTAGGCGTTGAGTTGGTGCTAGGGTGGTGGGCGTTGAGATGAGAGTGTTGAGTTGGTGCTAGGGTGGTGAGGTAGGCGTTGAATTGGTGCTGGTGGTGACGTGTGGACGGTGAGTTGAGTTGATGCTGGTGTGTGTGTGGGGGGGTGGGGAGGAGGTGGACGTAGAGGTTGAGTTGGTGCTGTGGGGTGGTGATGTGGACGGTGAGTTGGTGCTGTGGGGTGGTGATGTGGACGGTGAGTTGGTGATGTGGGGTGGTGATGTGGACGGCGAGAGCTTTCTTCGAGCACACCCCTGTTTTGTCCGGACATATCGTCATCCATTTGTGTCAAGATCGTTTAGTTGAGGGTCAAAATCGGGTTTCAATCGACTTGCAGAAATAACAATAAAGAATTGGTAGGTGTCATGAGTGGTGGTCGATAGTCCAATCATCCATGATTATGTTTACATTAAGTTTTAATCGATTGCATGCGATGGTAGCGTAGCGATCGGCAAACCAGGCGGGTGGGGTACACCGAAGTGTCCGGCCTTGTCATAATGTATTGCAGTGTGAGGCATTTCGAGTCGGGGGTCTTCTCAAAGTTTTTATATTTTTTCAAAATCTTTAATCCTCGCAAAGACATGAGGGCCTGTCGAGTAACGTACATTGTTAAAGCTGGGATCAAACAACCTTCCTACAATTGTTAGCAGCTGCCGAGTGAAAATGACTGTACATAGTTATATTGTGCTGAGGGAAGCCCGCAAACTGTAAGATGAAATGACACTTTGATGACTGGGCTGAATGGGGCAAACAACAGTCCAGTTTTCCACGTTAAAGTAACAGGAATCCGAACAATCTACACGAAGTGGAAGTTAATCCATACAAAGCTAAACACAGCTACACGCTATGAATATTCAATTGACTCTTCATTTAAAAGTCGAATCAAGGGAAGGTGTGAATGTAGCATTCTTGACATATTCAGCACTCTTCACGCTAACGGCGTGATGCAAGGTACAAAAATGTCGCGTGTCGTCAGTCGACAGGCACCTACAATTTTATATATATTATAGCAGTTCTTTGATCTTGTCGTTGGGAGAGCGCGCGGCCTCAGTCACGCGGGACTTCATTCCCTGAATGGTATACGCATGTCCTCTGTGTTTGTGTGAGCATATTCCACGCTTGGCGTTTGTAAAAGACGATACCATGTAAATAAATCTCAGATAAGACTCATGAATGAACATAATCGCCTATAACCATGTTAATCTATCACCTTCAGGAATGCTAAACATTCCGGGGGTAGGTTGGGCCAAAAGTCCCCTTATTAAACAGGCTGTGACTTTCGAGAGGGCCTCTTCGCGCTCTTTAACGGTGTAATCTGCATTCTCCTGGACGTTAATCAGTTACTGTTGCCGGATTGAACTGTCGGTGTCTAATAACGTGGAAGTAAGATTCAATAAATGGATTAAAGTCCCGATAAAGTTCCTGTGATCAAAGACAGCAGCCCAAGGATACCAGCGGCAGTGAACAGGGGGGTGCGGGATGGGGGTTGGGGTTGGAGCAGGGTCTGTTATATCCATACCAATGTGTATTGTTCATGTTATAAATGCTTGAATAAATATGGGGAAGGAAACGACCCCCCAGTATAGGTGACTACAGGCAGGAGGGACCCTCGGCCTCTGCTGCAGCAAGATTAATATAGCGGCCAGATGTGGCACTCCAGGAACGATGCCGTCTTGGGAATTCAGGTGTATCTGGAGCTAGTTAGGCGTTTTCTTTACTTTCTATAACTGTCACCCTTTGTAAATTATAATATTTAAAGTCAGTCATAATACGTCTGCAATAAAAGTGAGACTTGTACATTCCGACACTTCATTTTATTTTATTGCGGGAAGGCATGAACACCGCTTCCGGGTAATGAGACACGCATAGTTTGGAGATTTCAACGTCATGAACATTTCTCAACCAGCCACCGTCTTTACTTAGATGAGATCTCTTCCACTGGTGTGACTGAGTATCGTTTTACGCCGCTTAGCAATATCACGACCGACAACAAAAATGAACTTTACACATTTTACCCATGTTGGGAATCAAAATTTACCTGATAGGTGATATTAATCACAAAACTGAGTAAGTGAGTTTAGTTTTACGCCGCTTTTAGCAATATTCAGCAATATCACGGTGGGGAACACCAGAACTGGGCTTCACACATTGTACCCATGTGGGTATTCGAACCTGGTTCTTCGATGTGACGAGCAAACGCTTTAACCACTAAGCTACCCCGCCGCCCCTAGGAAACATAAAAGAAGCACGGCAATCCTGCTAGTTAATGTGGCGCAATATTTAAAGAACAAGGTAGATTAGAGGGATATAGGTATATATCACGATATGGTTTCAATACGAGACACCGCTGTGACACCTGGGTCGCTGTCAGGTAAGGTGAGCGATTTAGGGGACCACGTGTGCTTCCCAATATTGATTCCGTCAAACTCACCAGTCAGGAAATATGGTGTGAATGGCGCGAGGATTTAGTCCTATCAACGTGTGAGACGATTTGTTTAATTGTGAAGAATGTTGCTTGGTATGGAACAGAACCAGATTCACAATACACCTGTCACCTTACGCCCAAGGTAGCGTCTGTTAAATAACACCGACAAATTATTAATAACTCAAGCGTAGTGATGTAGTTTCTATGAAGCCCTTATGGCTTGGTGGTTTGAAGTAGACATACAATAAATGTCATGACAAGTGTCAAAGTGCCCCCCAGGGTGTCATATTATTGTGTCAGTGTGTCGATAACCTGTTTCAAATATGTACCACCAATGCGTGGGAGAAAATGTGTCAACGTGTCCCTTAAACACGTCACATCCTACGTGTTAATGTGTCCCCAAACATGTCACATGCCATGTGTCAATATGTCCCACACAGGTTACATGCCACGTGTCAATATGTCCCACACAGGTTACATGTCATGTGTCAATATGTCCCACAAACAGGTTACATGCCATGTGTCAATATGTCCCCAAACACGTTACATGCCTGTGTCAATATGTCCCCAAACACGTCACATGCCATGTGTCAATATGTCCCCAAACAGGTTACATGCCTGTGTCAATATGTCCCCAAACACGTCACATGCCTGTGTCAATATGTCCCCAAACACGTCACATGCCATGTGTCAATATGTCCCCAAACAGGTTACATGCCATGTGTCAATATGTCCCACAAACATGTTACATGCCACGTGTCAATATGTCCCACACAGGTTACATGTCATGTGTCAATATGTCCCACAAACAGGTTACATGCCTGTGTCAATATGTCCCCAAACACGTCACATGCCTGTGTCAATATGTCCCCAAACACGTCACATGCCATGTGTCAATATGTCCCCAAACAGGTTACATGCCTGTGTCAATATGTCCCACAAAGGTTACATGCCACGTGTCAATATGTCCCACACAGGTTACATGCCACGTGTCAATATGTCCCACACAGGTTACATGTCATGTGTCAATATGTCCCACTAACATGTCACATGCCATGTGTCAATATGTCCCCAAACACGTCACATGCCATGTGTCAATATGTCCCACACAGGTTACATGTCATGTGTCAATATGTCCCACACAGGTTACATGTCATGTGTCAATATGTCCCACACAGGTTACATGTCATGTGTCAATATGTCCCACACAGGTTACATGCCACGTGTCAATATGTCCCACTAACATGTCACATGCCATGTGTCAATATGTCCCACACAGGTTACATGTCATGTGTCAATATGTCCCACTAACATGTTACATGTCATGTGTCAATGTGTCTTACAAACATGTTGTGTCAATTTATCTAAAAAACTTTACATCAACGTACCAGCCTGAGTTTTACATTATGGCCTGAAAGTATGAATGACCAGAAAACGTGTTAAAGGGCATGTGTCCACATGACTCCAAATCAGGTACATACTGTTTGTCAGTGTGTCCCCAAATCAGGAAGACGTCAAGTCAAGGTGACCCCTCAACCTGTTACTTGACTATATATTAATCATGCATGTTTTGACATGGAATATACGTCAGTTCCTTCACACGAGTCCCAATGTGATCTTCCTACACGCAGATGGTTGTATGTTTGTTCTCCATGACTATATAGCAAATACAGCCAGCCAAAAGCGACATATCAGTCTCCAACACCCACAAAATAATTTAGAAAAAGTCTAAAATGAAAGTCTGGAGTCTGGACCATACAATCCAGTGATTTACAACTTGAGCATCGATAGAAGCTAATCCCACTTGTCGCCTTTCAAATAAATCTTGGGTTACTGAAGATCAATTCTAACACGGATCTTCATGGGGGAGACAAGCATGGGTTGCTGAAGACCAATTCTATCACGGATCTTCATGGGGAGACAAGCATGGGTTGCTGAAGACCAATTCTATCACGGATCTTCATGGGGAGACAAGCATGGGTTGCTGAAGATCCATTCTAACACGGATCTGCACGGTCTTCCTAGGTTTCATAGTTGTAAAACATGTGTTCTTATAAATACACTGTAAGATCAATAAGCAATTGCGACCTAACTATTTGCATAAAGGTAAACAATCTCTGCTTAAAGCAGAGTCCATCATATCCAACTATACAAGAAACATATGTCCACGTGCACGGTACACGCGACACCTGTTAATCAGCACCCGGCACGAAGACATGTTACCTGTATGTTATTTCTTACATGGGTGTAGGTATAAATGTCTCATGACACGTTGTCGAGGAGAGTTATAATTAATGTTTACTGTCTCCCTTCTTTATACAAGAGTAGCACCCGTACATTAAAAGTCGAATACGTAGCATTCCTGCCGTAAAGTCTAGTATATCGCTTTGTGTAGGTACGGTACTTTTAATCTTTTAAAAGTTTCATCAGCATTCCGCGACTGAAGTGTAGCAATTATAAACAAACAACATTTTTTCAATTTGAAAGGCAGCTGGTCATGTTTAAATGAGCTGATATTGTTGAGATGTCGTTTTTGACAACTATGTCGCGACGTGTTATGCTGTCTCAGACGGATCAATGGTTGAGCCAATCTGCAGCGATCCCCACATGGCACAAGTGATATTAAACTCGCGTCGCTTTAATAATTCCCTTTAAAGATTTACGCTTGCATCCACACCTACTCCCAGGCGGGCTTTATTATCGCTGGAAATCTACTCCTTTTAAACGCTTACCACGCGTAACTTGCACCATTCACGGCTATTTATATACATACGACGATTATAAATAGAATTTTTTACTTTGATGCTCCGTGCCTGTGACGTCACGTCAAAATAAAAACATTCCTCGTGGAAACAAATGTCCACAGTATGTGTTATCGTCGATTGGCATATATACGTTGAATTGGGTGTCCTGGCATGGCGTGTTGACTTTGTAGGTGTGAATTGTAGCCCGTCTATATCCGGCAAATTCAAGCAATTCTAGCCATTAACAAAAGCAATTTTATCATGTCTAAGCACCCGCTATAAGGCATCCTTCGTTATAGCGTGTCTGGGTTTTTGCTGGGCCGTAAAGTGGCTAAATGGCTGGTGACAGGATGTAGGACACCTGTCGGGTCAAGGTCGTGGACAGAGGTCAGGGGTCAATACCGACATCCGTACTCCTTAATATACATACTCATATTTAAATCGCATAGACATTTATTTGAATAAATAGGCTTTGCGTTGGTGGGAAGATGAATAAAACCCCGCCAATCCGAAAACCCCACCTTTCCGCCGCTCATTGTTGGATGAAGATACGTGAAACAGGGTTTAACGTCGAGTACAGTGTTAAGGACATATGCATACGTACGCGCGTGCGTGTGCATGTGCATGTGCGTGTGCTTGTGCTTGCTTGTACCGATCCGGACAGATGTCGGCTGTATACTGCTACCGATAGTGCCAAGTGAGTTTAAAATGGATACCACTCAGTTAAAACATACAGTTCCCGCGTCGACCGGTCCTGTTTAAATCCCTTTCGTAACAGTCGACAGGCAGGAAAACAATAAGTAGCATCTCTTAACATCTTCTCGTACTCATGTGAGTGAGTGAGTGAGTTTAGTTTTACGCCGCACGCAGCAATATTCCAGCTGTATGTCGGCGGTCTGTAAATAATCGAGTCTCTCGTACTCATGTACTGAAACGTGTACTGATGTACTTATTTGACTGAAAAATGAATTTTAATTAAGAACGAAATAGCAAAGTGAGTGAGTGAGTGAGTGTATGTCGGCGGTCTGTAAATAATCGAGTCTCTCGTACTCATGTACTGAAACGTGTACTGATGTACTTATTTGACTGAAAAATGAATTTTAATTAAGAACGAAATAGCAAAGTGAGTGAGTGAGTGAGTGAGTGAGTTGAGTTTTACGCCACACTCAGCAATATTCTAGCTATATGGCGGCGGTCTGGAAATAATCGGATCTGGACCAGACAATCCAGTAATCAACAGCATGAACATCGATCTACGCAATTGGAAATTTCAAAGTATGATATTAGTTTATTCATAATCAATGCATTCAATGCAGTCGGAATTGTGCAAGTGGTTCTGTTTCAAGCAGGGACTTCATAGGACCATGGGCCGCAAAAAACAGGGTTACAATTTGTATTCATTAACCGATAATTGTCGCAAGAGGCGACTAACAGGATTGGCGGTGAGCCTCGCTGTGTTGATGATTGTCATTTGATCCCAGTTGAGTATATCTACATGCTTGTGTTTGTAATCACTGAATTATCTGGTCTAAACTCATGTAGCTGTTATACTGCAGAGTGCGACGTCAGACAAACATATCATATGACTGTGGCAAGTCCTTTGTTTATCATTATTATCGTGGCTGTTGGGCAGTTTATATCTTGGTAGTTCAGTCGTGGTCCATGTCGTTTACTGGGTTGCTGCTTACTGTTATGGAAAACTAGGTTAAAATAGTCTTCACAATTGTCGACGTGTTGCCATGACAACAAAATTAAGATGTCGTACTGGTCACGTTTGGATCATCCCGAGAAACATGTTGCCTTCGACAATGACGTGAATGTTTTAAAAGAAATTGTGCCCAAGCGTTTTTCTTCCGTGCAACGAACGCGGAGGTTCTGTCGGTAGCTCAGTGCCGAGTGTTCCCTAAACACAGCTTCAGAACACAGTAATTACCATATGATAAACACATCTTGATGCGAAAAACTAATTTCAATGAAAAAATAAAACCTACGGAGGTCAGTTGCAGCCTGAATTGGATATTGTTTAAGAAATAATTATTTTGAACCAAAATGGTTTGAAATAGTCGTGTAACAACTACAGTGTATATAGGTAGGTGACACTCTCCATACAGTTGGAACATTGCTGTGTGCGACACACACGTCAGTCATTCAAGGTATAATACCTTCAAGAAGGAGAGGTTCTCAATCTTATTTTTACGAATTAAGAACGCTTTTAGCACATTGCACAACTCGTTATTTGTATAACGAGATCGAATATTACAAAGACTGACTCAGGTATAATGGCGTCTTTCAGAAAGAGCAGTGTGCGAAATTTACGCTGGTCCTGTGGTCCCTGGCTAGTACAAATTCACCAGGACCACTAAATGAAATTTGCAGTGGTCCTGGACGCCAGTGGATTTTGAATCGATAGTCTTTGTATCGAAATCTATACGAATGTTATTTTGGACCAGTGAAGTACAGACAGGGCCACTAATTATTGTCCACTCACTGGTCCTGTTGTCAAGTAGGAAATTTTGAAAGGTTTCTTTCCCTGAAGAGTACACCGTCCACTAAATTGTGGATTGGATGTCCCATTAGAAAGTGCACCAGCACATCTGCTGCTGCTGCTGAGGCCTCATTCCACTGACCGACTCTCACACTATCAGCCCCTGGTTTGCTGGGATGAGGGCAGAATATAACTGGGAGATAAGGTGGTCTTGTTTTAAGGGTGTTCGGTTATCACGTCACTGTCTGGGTTATAGTTTCGGAGGGGTACTATGAGTGAAGATGACACCAATGGCCCCGTGGTATTGTTAAGATATTTTTGAAAGGCACGTTAAGTCATACTAAGTCCCTTGAATAATGCAGAATACCGCTGAGATAGGCCAGTGGTTGTATGTGACATTCACTAACTTAGTATCGAAGGAAGAGTGAGTGAGTGAATATGTTTTTACGCCACGTTTAGCAATATTCCAGCAATATCACGGCGGGGGACACCAAAAATGCTTTACACATGTGGGGAATCGAACCCGAGTCTTCGGCGTGACGAGCAGACGCTTTAACCACTAGGCTACCCCACCGCCCCTCGAGGTGAGGTGAGGTGAAATTGGGTTCTACGTCGTGCTTGAGAATATTTCGCTCATATGACAACGTGCATGCGTGTGTATGTGTATGTGCGGCTGCTTGTACTAGCCCAGACTTTTTAGAGTGCTAGACCACTGAGATACCATGCCGGAGTGAAGCATGAATACCCCACTCAGACACATTATACCGACTCCGAGCCGACCTGTCCTTGTTGTACCCATTAATGGCGAGCGCCAGGCAGGGACCAACAAGTACCATATTTTAACGTCTTTTGGTATGACGCGGTCGGGGATCGAACCCGCGACCTTCCGCTCTCCGGGCGGACGCTCTAACCACTACACCACGGAGGCGGTCCCCGCCCCTCGAAGGAAGAGGAAAGTGTCGGTAGTAGACGAGCGCTTAGTTTCTGAAAATATGTAATTCTGATAGAAGTTCATTTTAATTGAGAAGGAGTTCAGTGAACTGGAAGACTAAGGAAAATCTAGACTTGCTTCATATACGTCTTCTTCATTACAGAACGGGCACTGTGGTTGTGTAAATAGTGAGGGTATCCTCTCCCACGGTCCAGCGTCAAAACGTGAGGACAACACCATCCTCCCTGGTCAGTGGAAGTACACGGCCAGTACGCGGGCATTGATGTGGTGACTGGTCACACGGCGGCCAGTGTATCCTACACACGGCCTCGACTGCCGCACTCCCAGCTTCCACAGCACATTCACCAGCTTGCAGGAAATGGCTTCTCGGAAGCACTGGTGTGCCCATGCGGAACACTTTCTTTCACAGTGTCGGAGGTCATGGCGAGTCACGAACACGATCTGGACTGCAAACCCCATTAGGACACAGATAAATTGTGTGTAAATAGTATGTGGATATATTGTGTGCATGCCGAGTGAGTGGATGTTTACGCCCGAAAGAGCAATATCTGTTTCACGGCGGCATTTGTGAGGAAAACCTATGGATGACAGCAAGAACAGGCGTGAATGGTTTTGTATTACACGTGAATGTGAGGTGAATGTTTTTTTGTTACACGTGAATGTGGGGGTGAATGTGTTTTTGTTACACGGGAATGTGGGGTGAATGTTCTTTGTTACACGTGAATGTGGAGTGAATGTTTTTTGTTACACGGGAATGTGGGGTGAATGTTTTTTGTTACACGTGAATGTGGGGTGAATGTTTTTTTGTTACACGTGAATGTGGGGTGAATGGTTTTGTTCGTATTACATGAGTGGGCAACGTCAATAACTTTGTCTTACCTGTGAATGCCGTCTTACCTGTGAACATCGTTGCTTTATGAGGTTTTACATTTGAATGTGCCTTGCAAGTGAGTTATTGTACATGTGAATGTGTATGTCATATGACGCCCCACACTTGAGGGGTATGTCACACACATCGGCGGGTAACCTCCACCCAGAATTGTCGGTCGCTTCATCCAGATCATACACATGTCGATCGATAAATTCGATTCATTGTCCCCTTTACAAATATAACAGAAATACAGGACGGCTATGGAACCCTGATAATCAGGAACGTCTACATTCCGAACTTATATTCAAGTCGACACTGCATTGACCAGTGTAGACGAACGCTTAGTCTCTGAATATATATAATTTTGATGGTAACAAATAGGCCATTTGAAAAGGAGCCCCAATGAGACCAGAGGCCGCACTCAGCAATATTCCAGCTATCCGGCGGCGGTTTGTAAATAATCGAGCCTGGACCAGACAATCTAGTGATTAACACCATGAGCATTGATCTACGCAACTGCGACACGATGACATATGTCAACCAGGTCAGCGAGCCTGATCACTCGATCCCGTTAGCCGCCTCTTCTAACAAACATCTGTCGCTGAAAATCAGTTCTACCCGGACCTTGATGGGTACAGTGTGAAATGGAGAAACATTTGATTGATTCTATTCCCAGACACGTTATATCATTATTATTAAATTGTAGTTAAAAACATAGTGCTTTAGCATTCACGGAATCAAGAATACCTGATGATTGTTCGTAACAGTCTCCGTAAAGGTGTTCTTCTGAACGATCTTCCAAACTGTGTCAAGGCAACTATGAATACGTCAATGAATACGTCAATATGTTGTCAAAGACACCTGTTTCGTTTATCGAATTTTAGATGAAAATCAAATTAATTTACAGTGCCGGTGACATATAACATGATCGATTGTTGTTTGAAGCTGATAATGAAATTCTGATTGTGAAATAGAAAACTGGCGCAATTTTCCAGCAGTCAGTGAATGAACAGCAGGTTATGAATGATAGCATGTTGTGACGTGTCGCAGATCAACGCACGTGGGATGTGAAACAAACCAATCAGGCAGCGATCTCTTTAACCAATCAGATCTCCGATATCTATGTCCGATGTTTATGTCGAGGTGTGTTCATGAATGAATCTATGGCCAGGAAATGCGTTTATTGCATCAGAGAAGGAAATATGTGCGGGTCCGTGCACGTCTACCTCGACAGCGGTCACATTCGGGGAAGGGTCGGGTTAACCTGTTGCATGAGTCTTCACACACAACTGTGTGGGGATCTGATTGAACCCTCCACAATCTGGCTGAACACAGTTAACAGGGGTCGCGGTAACCGATCATTCCGTTACATAAATAGTTGGGTTTAGTAATGAACTATCTCTGATCATTTAGTTCAGCTCCAATTTCTATTATTGTTCCTATTACAGAATGAGTATGGATTTACGTTACAGTTAGTAATACACATGTAATTACATTTACCTGAAATATGCTTTAACCGTCGTTCCCACGTAAGGAGTCGAACTCGGGATTTAGGTGTGACGAGCAAACTATTTGAACACCATGCGAACATATACAGCGTGTACAGCCGTTCTGATATCCTTAGGCCTTACAATTAGTCCCAGAAATATGTTTATCTTATCTGAAACATTATACAGTGGACTCGGGACCGGTGAAAAATGTCGGTTTAGAGGGATGTCGGTTTAGAGTGAGTCCACTGTCAATCCAAAATTAGTCCTGTAATAATTTCTGTGGTGACCTCTAGAGGTTACTATCTACAAACTATAAACAAATAAAGAGAATAAAAAACAACAACAAAAAAAGACTATGCTATAAAAAAACAACCTTAAAATACAATTGACATGGAGTCCAACCCTAGATGTGCCAAATAATTTTACACTTGAATCTCTAGTTATAATATTCATTTCCTCGTGTATAGGGTATAGACGAGAGTAAGTGAGAGCGTTTAGCAACATCCTGGAAACGTCACAACGGAGGACACCTGAAACGTGGGGAATCGATCGGGGGGACGGGTTCGGAGGGGTTCGGGTTCGGATAGATGCTCATGATGTCAATCACTGGATTATTTGCAAACTAGAATATTGCTTACTGCTACAACTACAGCTACCACAACTACTGCAAACACAAATACTACTACTACCACCTACCACTATTACACCTACCAGTGCTGCTGCTACTAGAATATCCATTTGGAATGTCTGCATTCAAGCTCGTAGTGATGTACCTTTAAACGTTGACCACCTTGGTGACAGTCGATGTTACGGTCCTGATAGAGCACGGGCATGGTGCGGATGCTCCCACAAACATAACTGGGTCGAATCGGGATTCATTATGGGTAGGCACGTAGTCAGGATACTGTGATATTATCTTTGATGCTGCATCCATTTATTAAATACGGGTTGGTGTTTGAGTGAGCTAGTACTCCAAAACCGGCTTATTTCCAGAAGAGTAGAGTGAGTGAGTTTAGTTTTACGCCACTTTTAGCAATATTCCAGCAATATCACGGCGGGGGACACCAGAAATGGGCTTCACTCATTGTACCCATGTGGGAAATCGAACACGGGTCTTCGGTGTGACGAGCGGACGCTTTCACCACTAGGCTACCCCACCGCCCCTCTGCACAATAATGGCCGCTTAAGACGAATGGGCCATTCTCCTACCTCAGATAGTGGTATAGACTGACTGATTACGACCAATTCAAATGGCACAGAAGCAATTATTGCCGTGGGACTATCTCTTTTTTTATCGGCTATTTATAACTTATAAATACCATATAGACATGTGTTTTAACCGAATATATCTCTGCAGCCATGTGATATAAACACATGTACGCAAAACGTCATATACATTGCACATTTAAAAAAGCCATATGCTGTGTGATATAGCTATGTGATGCAGCCATGTGATATAGGTGTCTGATATAGGTATGCGATATGGCTATGTGTCAACCATCAGCCTTGTAATGTTCGCATGAACACTTTCCGTGTGAGATATCTCTTCTAGAGGGACATTCTACATGCATGAGGAAGCTGTTAGGTTGTAAAT